TCATAGATTTTGTTACCATTGCCATGCATTATACGACTGATAGACTGCAACGGTTGGACTTAAAAATCATAATTTGTTTTCTACTGAAGAAACAAAGTGACCTACATCTTGGATTCCCTGGGGGTAAGCAGATAAACATCAAATTTTCATTTTTGGGTGAACTATCACTTTAAAGTTATCTTTGGTTGAGCACCCCCCTTGAGCTATTTGCTGGTGATATGCGTGTTTTTTTTTTAAACTGCAGTCCGTACGTTTTGCCTCTTTGTTGCCATCTCTGTTTGAAGACCTGCAATTGTAGCTATTTGCGGAATTATCTTCCTTGCGTGGGTTGTGCCCACGCACAATGTGTGGCTGTCAGTCACCGCACCGTTGTGGATTCTGCACTTTGTATTCAGAGATTCTACATCTTGAAAGTATGACCCAAATAAGAGTTTTCCCTGGAGAATGTCTTCTGAACAAGTAACAACTGCCACTTTTGTTCTGATCAACTGAGGACTGGTCGCATTCTTTTTTTCAGTAGCCACTTCTTCTTCACAGAATTCTTTTGGTTTTGACTACGGGTGAATCTCCAGTCACTGATGATTGCCGTTTCGACCTTTCTGGATTACACTCCGGCATTTATTCCAGCTGCTGTGAGAAAAGGCTATAAACGATCCTTCACCTGCAGCATCCTCACATACGATATAGCATACTAGCCGGGACAACTTCTTTGTTTACAGACGTGACCCTAACCCTAACGCAGCGCCATGCTCGAATTTCCAGCGAAAACCTGCCCGTACCACTCAAATTTAAAAACTTTATTACAAGCTTACCGTTGTGAATCGAGCTAAAGCAAGGTGATAGTTTTGAACACTGCCGGGTTATGTACTTGCTCAAATTGATTTTGGATCATTTTTAACCAAAAAAGTTACGGACTGCAGCTTTAAAGGAGACATATTATGCCCCTTTTTACAATATGTAATATAAGTCTCTGGTGTCCCCAGAATGTGTCTGTGAAGTTTCAGCTCAAAATACTCCACAGATCATTTA